GGGACCTGAAACATCCTTCAGCTCTCCAGTACCCGCCCTTCTCTTCCCAGCCTGCACTGTACACTGAAAGCAATGCAGCCATTCATGTGTCACATGTGTACCACCCTCCTCCACGATCTACACACTAAGCATCACCAGGACACTGTCTCAAATCCCAGCACCTGTCCAACACACTGGAGGTGCTCAGGAAATGTCATCAAGGTGATTAGAGATAGCCCTGCTGTCCTCATCGATAAAAACAGGATATCCACATCTTAGGAGATAATAATCCGGAGATCTCAGAGTGGAAGGGCCCCGTGACCCACACGTTGGATGAGCCCACCACTCAAAGACCAGAACAGTGACCACCCACATACCAGGGGCTTCAGTGGTCCATACTTCTCCAGGGCGTTCTTGAACGGGGTTGGCGTGTGAGGAGTGTTGTCCATGGAGTATTTCTGATCTGGGGTTACAAATCTGCCAGGGACCAGAGAGAGGCAGGCTCAGTGAGGGGGCAGACTTCCACCTTCCCTTGGGCCCAGTGGCTAGATATCCCGCCCAGCTCCCTGCCCCTCGGGTCCAGGTCAGGGCCCAGAGGAAAGGCCATGTTCAGAAACAGGAAGGATAGGAATGAATCTTAAGGGGGCCAGGAGACCCAGACAGTGACAAAGAATGATGCTCAGTCATAGTCCAGACTTGGGACTTTCCAGAAACAAGTCTGTGGCCATGCTTCAGGCATGGTGGTGTGGGGTGGGAAAACCGGAATCTATGAATCCACATCCCTGCACAGCCTTAGGACAACATTGTAAGGCCAGAGCCTCACCCCAAAATCATCATGGTGGGGACAGAAATATGGAGGGAACACATGAGTAGTGAGAAACCTAGAAACAGCCTGGCCCAGAAGCAGAACCACTGTGACCCTTCCCTCAGACACAGAATTCCAAGAATGCTCTCTGCCTATGACAGAGAAGCCTGCTGGGGAAGGGGAAGAGGACAGAAGTGGCACTTCACACCCCAGAGTGCCAGGAACAGAGAGAGGCCAGGGTGGGCAACAGGAACTTCAACTCTGGCAGCAGGTACCAGACTCCCAGAACATGACACTCCTATGCAAAGCCCACTTGGCCTGGGTCACCTGGAGATACTGCCCACTGACCAGGACAGTAGGAAGAAGATACATTTCATCAGAATTCAGGCCAACTCCTGGATGTGGCCACCTGTGCCTCTTTGGCCCCTTCCCTTAGCCTGAACCACTCCATTGGGAGATGACAGACCCAATGCAGGTCACTCTTCCTTCCTTTCTCAGGACTCAAAGCTCAAACAGGGATCCACAATCTCTTCCCTTCCTCTATCCTCCTCCACACTGAGCTCCCCTCTGTAAGAAAGAGTGAAGACAGACATCCATGCCTGGACAAATGTCATACCCCACAGTGCAAACCACACTCCATCTACCTGGGAACTCCAGAGTCTCTTTAACCCACCGCATCAGCAAGTCTAAGCGCACGTGCGTGTCAGAAGACTCAGGAGGGTGGAAGTGAAGAGGTATGTGGAAGGCAGCCAGGAAGTGGCACGTGTAGTGCTGTAAGCCAGGGGGCTCAATGGGTGGGAGACCACAGAAAACCACACCAGCAAATCAGAAGACAATTTATGACGTTCTCACAGAGGTCAACACAGGGGCTTAAAACAATGAACAGGAACATAAAGAAGAAAAGGAAGGTGAAAAGGGGCTGGGGGTGTGGCTCGGCAGCAGAGTACTTGCCTCACATACAGAGCCCAGGATTCCTCCTCTGAAACAGGGCAGTAGAGGCAGGAGTAAAGGTAAATAAACACACACTCATAAAGAGCTTAGCAAATTGAAGAGGTAACTAAAAAATGTTGAGCACGGTGGCACTGCCTATAATCCCAGCTACTCAGGAGGCTGAGGCAGGAGGATTCAGGTCTGAGGCCAACCTAGGCAACTTAGCAAGACCCTGTCTTAAAATAAAAATAAAAAGGCTGGGGATGCAGCTCAGTGGTACAGCACCTAAGTTCAATCCAAAGTACAAAAAAAAAAAAAAGAAGAGGTAACTAAAAAACAAAAATCCTATAAGGAAGGATCCACAGACAAAGACAATAAAGGAAGCAGCTAGCTGGGCCTCAGATGTTTCCACTACCTGAGTACTGCAGGAAAGCCAAGTAGAGGCCACAGGGTGAGGCCACAGCTATTCAGGATTTCCGTCTCCGCCTTCCCTGCTGAGAAGCAGGAAGAAGGACCCTGTATACCTGTATGGTTCCACTAGTGGACAGACGGAGCCACAAACAGCCAGAGGAATGATAAATCATGCTCCATTTGTGTATAATATGTCAAAATACACTCTATTTAAAATAAATCATAAAAAAGAAAAGAAACAGGAAGAAGGCCCAGATCGCAAAAGCACAGCCCTTGCCCACCCATCCCTAAAAACAAAAAAAAAAAAAAAAAAAAAAAAAAAAATCCTGAATCAACTAAGGAAATCAAATTTTTACCCAGGGAAGTCCTGCTCTCATTCAGCAGTTAAACCCTAGGGCCATGTCAACAATGTGTGAGGGGCACAGGGCCAGACACCTCCTACCTCCTCTTCCACAGTTCCCTCCACCTGGTTCTCCCCAAACCCTTACTGTTGTTCCATAAACACAAAGGCACATGTCTACCTCAGAACTGTGCTTTTTCCTCACAGCCATCTTCACAGCCATCTAAGAGGCCACCTCTGACCTCCACCAGTCAGAAACCCCTCACCATCACCCTCCTCCACAGGCCTGTATAATTTCTCCGAGTACTTGTCACCATCTGAAAGACCACATACTGGTTTCTGTTTATAGCAGGCCCTGGATTTAAGACCGTTTGACTTACAATTTTTGGACTTTACCCATTCTACTTTTTAGAAATACTGACTTTTCAAGAACTTTATTGTAGAATAGGCTCAGGTTAGATTTTGCCCAACCATCGGCTCAAGTGCTCTACCACCTTTAAAACAGGTGGGGCTCAGCTGTGATATTCAGGAGGCCTGGTGTGAAACTCTCACTGGGCTTAAGGGGTCATAACCCCATGGTAAGCAAAGAGGAATCTAAATTTGTTAATGAACATCCCTTCCAATAAACCACAACCTCTGAGAGGAAAAAAGCCAAACAAAAAAAAGAAAGATGGGATATAAAATCAGTGGGCAACAACATGATACCAATAAAATCTGAACTTTAAGGCTGTATCATTCTTGCCTAGTATGTCTTGGCAAACATCAAAAAGAAGTTTTCAAAGAGAATATTAGCAAACCAAAAAAATCTTTAATTTAAAGATGAAACATCATGCTTCCACTTCTGCTCAAAACAAACTGTCAGGGACCAGATGTACCCTCCCACCTGGAAGAGCAAAGAAACCAAGATGCAACAGATGAACAGGCAAGGTTTAAGACCCAACACCAGGCAACAGAGGACAGTGAACCCTGAGGGATGGGGGTGAAGGGCAAAAGAGTGAGCCAGCGACTGCTGGCCACAGCACTGGCAGAAGACACCCAGGTGAAGCCTGGCAGACCCTGGAGTTGCAGAGAATTACTGAGTCCAAGGAGTCCCCAGCAGCTAGAGGTCACAAGGCATAGTACCGAAGAGGAGAGAGCTACAAAGGAGAGAGCCCAGAGACATGCAGAGGAGCCAGGGGTGTACTCAGGAGAGTGCTAACTTGCACATATGTCAGGAAACTACCAGAGACAGCGGGAATAACCTGCTTAAAAAAAACGTGCCTGGCATGTAAACAAATATTCCTGGGCTTGAGAAGGGAAAAGAAGGGAGGTATCAATGACTTCTGCAGTTCGGCATCTCTGTTTAAGGGCTTAGATATAAAATCTAGAATTCTGGTTTGAATGGAGAATCATTTCTCACAAAACCTATCTTTTTACTAAGAGAGGGAGAGAGGGAGGGGGAGGGGGGAGAGGGAGGGAGAGAGAGAGAGAGAGAGTGTGTTTACTTACTCATTTACTAGGGTACGGGGATCAAATTCGGGCCTGGAACATACTAGGCAAGCACTCTACCACTGAGCTATATATCCCAGCTCTAAAACATATTTTTTAAAATCCACTGTTGAGACTGATTTCTAATCAAGTGATGCATGAGTTCTTTCTAAATTCACCTGTCATCATAAGGGCTAAGTTCATGAACTGATTCCTGAATCACAACTTTCTTCTGGGACACCAGCAAGCTTCTCCTGCAGCAAAAGCAACAGGCAGAGCAGCAAGGAAACAACTACATGTGGAATTTAGTTACCTGAGCCATGGAGTGAAGAATAGAAAGCTCTTCCAAAAGGCAGGTGCTGGGCAGCCCTTGCAGGCTGCTGGAGCCAGGGTTGCACAGAGCCCCAAATATGAGGGGCCAGGGCCACTTCCAGCCCACACGCAAGGCTGTCAAACACTCCAGGTTTGCACTTAAAGTTTGTAAAGGGGGGAAGAGATCACCGTTTTTGTGTCAACTTGGGCTATGCTCCTGATATTATAAAACTATCAAGTTAAAAAAAATTAAAATGATAGGGCTGGGGTTTTGGCTCAGTGGTAGAGCACTTGCCTAGCATGCATTAGGCACTGGGTTTGATCCCCAGCACCACCTGAACAAATTAAATAAACAAAATAAAGGGATTGTGTCCATCTACAACTAAAAAAATATTAAAAAAAAAAATGAGGGCTGGGATTGTAGCTCAGCAATAGAGTGCTTGCCTAGCGCGTGTGAGGCCCTGGGTTCGATCCTCAACACCACATAAAAATAAAATAAAGATATTGTGTCCAACTACAACTAAAAATAAATAAATATTTTTAAAATATTTATTTAAAAAATTTTTTTTAAATGAGGGAGGGAAAAGATAAAATAGCAGGCTAGAATGACAAACATGGAGAGGTGTGGAGTCAGAGGGAGAACACTTTCTGAAACTGATGTGCTTTTCCAGGAGTCCTCCCCACTGCCTCAGGCACACACACCGTCCACTGCTACAGGAGGGGCAGGTGGATGCCAGCACTCACGCAGCATGCTTCTGGTGCAGGGGTGTCTTGTCCCGGTGCAGGGGTGTGGTGACTACCACCTTTTGGCTGCATACTGGAGTGGACGTCAGTGAGGGGCTCTCCAGCTCTAGAGTATCCTGTTTGTTCCAGAAGTTCAGAAACTGCCAGGAAAAAGAGAACATAGGACAGGATGACCTGTGGGCCCTGGGGCCCTGGGACTGGAGGAGCAACCTTCAGAAGCCCCTCCCCATAATACTGCTGCCCTAAGGCCAATACAGCTGAACAGCAAAGACCAGCACAGGTGGACAAGAACCCATCAAGTAGCTGTATAGGCCCGGGCTCACAATCACCCGAATCATAGCTGGGACACAATGCAGTAAAGACAAAGAAAGCTGACTATGCTTCCTTTCCAGAAGTAAAACACAGCTTTGAAATGGCCTGTGGAGGCACAGACTAAGACTCGATACAGTTATTAGTCCCTGTGAATCCTGAGACACAAGCACCCTTTGAAAATCAAATACTTGTACACGTCAGATTCAAATCTAGCTAGAACTGGCATCTGTGATCTGAAGCACATCTACACCTAAGCCCTCCCTGCCCGAGAGGTTGTCACCAGCTTAGAGAGCTACCTGTAGGTAGCCTTAGGCCCACCAGCCCAGGCAGGGTCTCCAGAGGACAGCGGCCACACTCCCATCCCTCAGGGCTACTTAGGCAGCCCAAAGCTCCATATAGTGAAATATTTGTAGTTCAGGATTTTGATTTCTAAGTGGCTGGATTGCTTTGTTAACATATATTTGACACATAGTTGGACTGTTAGCCATCCCTTGAGGGAGTACTTTCCATTCATATCTCTGATCAGGACCTTCATGATTTAATGCAGGGATAGTAAATGCAAAACGTGGACTATCCTCGGGATGAATTGGAATTGAAAAAAAAAACAATCTTTAATATCTATAGCTAAAACATGCCAGGTTTTTGGCAAAGCAGACAATTGAGGAATCCCCGATTGAGCAGGTCCCATAATAACCATCTCATTATTAATGGCTCTTAAATCTTGCAATAATCTCCATTTACCAGATTTCTTTTTGATGACAAAAATGGGAGTATTATGGGGAGATACAGAAGGTTGTATATGTCCTTCTGCTAATTGTTGTTTGACCAGGTCATGGGCTGCTTGTATCTTTTCTTTAGTCAGGGGCCACTGAGGAACCCATACTGGTCTTTCTGATTTCCAAGTAATTTTTATTGTCTCAGTGGCCCTTTCTGAAAATCCAACCCATGTCTGTCTGTTCCTTGATCTATTTGTATTGGTGCTGCTATACCTTGTTCTTGTTTTTCTAATCTTTTTCCTTTCCTAAAACCTTGTCTAGTCATAATAGTGGGTGCATTTTGGTTGATGTTATTTGTTAATGTCAAACCTAATTGATCTAGGACATTTCGTCCCCATAAATTTATGGGAAGATGATCCAATACATATGGCTGTATATTTCCTTCACATTCTTCAGGATCCTTCCAATCTAATACCATTGCACTTCTATGGGGATTAGTCGCCACTCCTAGGCCTCGAAGCGTTTGAGTGGCTTGTTGTAATGGCCAATGTTTTGGCCATTCTTGACGAGAGATGATGCTAAGGTCTGCACCTGTATCCAGTAGCCCATTAAATTCATGTCCTTGAATATTTAGTTTTAGCATGGGGCGAGAATCTAAATTTAAAGAAAGCATAGCCCAATCTACACCTGTGGAGCCTAATCCCTTGGAACCTCTTTCTACAGTACGACTGGAAAATTTATCATGTAGGCTGGGTATTATTAATAACTGTGCTATTCTATCTCCTGGTGAAATTACTGATATACCCTTTGGAGAACTGGCTATAATTTTTATTTCACCTTCATAATCGGGATCAATTACCCCAGGACTTATCATAAGTCCTTTTAGAGTAGAAGAGCTGCGTCCCAATAATAAGCCTACTGTTCCTTTGGGAAGAGGTCCTTTCACCCCTGTGGGAATGATTTGAACTCCCATCTCGGGAGTTAGTACTGCTCTGGCGGAGGCGCAGATGTCCAACCCTGCGCTCCCTCTGGTTTGTCTGATGAGGGATCTGATGGACAATGTGTCCTGGGCACTACCCTGATGGGGTTGCTGGGTTCCTCTAGTGCTCCGTATATTTGTGGTTTTGGGCCCCGGAGCATTGGGCCCCCCTGTCCATTTTTTGGCAATGGAGCCCAATGCCTTTCTCCACGATATCGTGGATAAACACCTGATCCTTGTTCGTTTTTTGATAATGGAGTACCCTCTATGGTGGTTTGAGAACGGCATTCATTAGCCCAATGTCTCCCTCTACGGCATCGTGGGCAAATACCTGGTATTCTACTCCTTTGATACCTAGTTTTGTTAAACCCTCCTCCAATGGGGCAATTCCTTTTAAAATGTCCTGTTTGTTCACAATTGTAGCATGTTCTTGGCCTGGCATCTAAAGCCTGTTTTACTGCAGCTGCCACAATTTGCCCTTGTTCATTAATGTCTCTGGCATCTAAAGCCTGTTTTACTGCAGCTGCCACGACTTGCTCTTGTTCATTAATGTCTCTACATAATTTAATATATGTGTTTAAATCTTCATGTTTCCATGGTCTAATGATATCTCTGCACCAACGATTTGCTTGCTCATAAGCCAGGTGTTTTAGTAATGGCATTGCTTGTTCTGTATTCCCAAAAACTCTGGTAGCTGTTTGAATAAGACTATCTACAAATTCAGCATAAGGTTCATTAGCTCCTTGTATTACCTTAGATAATTGACCTTGTAAACCTCCATGTCCTTGTAAAGTCTTCCATGCCTTAATTGCATCTGCAGCAATTTGTGCGTATACACCAGGATCATATGCAATTTGTTGCTGCTGATCCTCATAAGGTCCCTTTCCTAACAACATATCTAGATTTCTCTGAGGATAACCAGCTGCTGCATTTCGCCTAGCCGTCTCCTTGCAAAATTCCTCATTGGCAACCTTCCATAACAGGTATTGTCCTCCATTTAGCACAGCTTTACACATATTAGCCCAATCTGCTGGCGTCATGTTCAAGTTGTTAATGGATTCGACCATGCTTACAGTGAAGGGTGCTTGAGGACCATAGGTTGTTACAGCCTCTTTTAGCTGCTTCACTGTTTTGAAATTTAAAACTTGGTAAAATCGCTGCCCTCCTGCCTCAAATACAGGGCATGTTAATATTTGAGATCTTGTCTCAGGATCCCAACTATCAACTGCGGGGGTTGGGGACCTCCCAGCATATGGAGGTGGCCTTGTTAGTTGGACACTTACGTCCTCTGGTGATAGAAAGGTGTTAGTAGCAGTCTCCTGTTGTAACTTTCCCCCTGATGGCTTTTTCTGTTTTACACTTTCTTTCTCTGTCTGACTAGCTTGAGAGGCCTTCTCTTTTACTTGAATCTTTTCCTCTGTCTGACTAACTTGAGAGACCTTCTCTTTTACTTGAATCAATATGTCTTCTCCTTCCTCTACCTTTGTCTGAACTGAAGGCTTTGGACTAAGCAAACAAGACACCAATGCCCACAATGTCAATGTGCCAACTGGCAGAGTCCCTGGGCTTTTCTTTTCTATTCTTTTTAAATCTTCACCATGATGGTTCCATTGTGATATATTTAACAACTCCTCCTTAAAAAGCCATGGGCTACATTTTTGTATTGTATCAACGTATGCCCTGATTGTTCTT